GGACGGTGTTAACATGTCTTCAGTTGTACTTGATTCATTCATGAATTTGTCTTCTTCTTTGACATCTCTTAGTCTCGTTGATTCTAATTTGAAAGGGAAATTCAGAGAAAATTTTCCGCCTACCAAACCTCCATGAACTTTATTTAAGTTACAACTATGAGTTCAATGGTTCTTTCCCAAAATCTTATTGGAGCAATCCACTCAAGTTCTTGGGACTCTCTTGGACTAGAATCTCAATAGATTTGCCCTATCTGACTACAACTTTGAAGTGCTTGAGTTTTTTGTATCTTGAGCATTGCAATTTTGTAGGAGCATACCCTACATTGCTTGGTAATCTTACACAAATCACGAGGTTGGACCTCTCAGATAATGGTTTTGGTGGCCAGATCCCATGGTCGCTTTTAAACATGGAGAGTCTCATTTCCTTAGATCTTTCAAACAACAATTTTTCGGGTCAACTCCTAGATCTTCATAGTAACTCAACACAAATGCCTGCATCTTTATATGATTCTTCAAAAGAACGGCTAGTGGGTCCTATTCCTTTGCATTTAAACGAACTCTTCTTATATAATAACTCACTTACCGGAACAATACCATCTTGGCTATATATCTTGCCCTCTTTGGAAGCTTTAAGCCTCAGCCACAACCAACTCACTGGGAACGTCAAAGAATTCCAATCTAGTTCTTTGGTGTATCTTAATTTTGGTCATAACAGATTACATGGCCAAATTCCAAGATCAATCTTTGAATTTCCAAACCTGGGAGAGCTCGATCTGTCATCAAATAACTTCAGTGGGTTTGTGAAGTTTGGAAAGTTTCCGAAACCCCAAAATCTTCTTAGGCATCTTTATCTTTCTAATAACTCTTTGACAGGTATAGAACAAGTATTTCCGTGGAAAAACTTACAAGTTCTTGACCTCCGCACCAATTTGCTCCAAGGACAACTTCCTATTCCACCACCTTCTACATTTGTCTTCTTGGTATCACACAATCAGTTGACGGGAGGGATTCCTTCAAAGATTTGCAACCTCAGTTCCCTTGTAGTCCTTGATTTGTCTAATAACAACATGAGAGGCGAAATTCCTCCATGTATAGGAAATTTGACCAGTCACAACCTCTCAGTTCTGGATTTACATATGAATAAATTTCTTGGAGTGATCCCTTCAACATTCACAAAGGATAGCATCTTGAGGAATCTTGACCTTAATGGAAATAAGTTGGAAGGGCCATTGCCGCAAACTCTGTTGAATTGTAGAAAGTTGGAAGTGCTCGACCTAGGAAACAACGAGATAAACGACACCTTCCCCAACTGGTTGGAATCCCTTCCAACGTTACAGGTTCTTATCTTGAGATCTAACAAATTTCATGGTC